CTCTCTCTCTCCCTCTCCCTTCCTCAGTATAACGACAACCTCTTTACTCACCTTTTAGACCTGGGTCCAGGGACATGCAACGCATGACGGCTGTTCTGAGAAGCCCTAATTGCTAGAAAGCACATCCTCGTACTGAGCTGAAATCTGCCTGCCTGGAACGTCGACCTATTAAATTCAGATTTGTCTGGAGCTTGAAGATCAGTGAGGGTATTTTTTTCCCCTCACATGAGAGTCATTTAACATTTTAAGATAATTACCGCCAATCACCGAAGCTTTCTCTTTCCTGGTCAAAATACCTCTCACAGTCATCACCGTGGCTTCAAGGAGCTCTCTCTTCCTGACTGCCTCCCTCAAGATTCATTTCGTGGGCCCTTCAATGAACAGCTAAGTGCCTGGCAGTAAGAATCACGGATCGGCTGCCTCCTGCACGCCACCCCCCCACCCCACCCCACCCCCCACACACACAGGGGATGGAGCCAACAACCCAAGCCTGTGCCCTTGACCGGAGAATCGAACCATGACCTCCTGGTTCCTGGGCCGATGCTAACCACTGAGCAACACCAGCCGGGCAAATGCAGAACCTTTTGAAAGTGTGTCATTTGGGAAGGAATCTAAGTCAGAATTTAAACATCTCAACAGGAAGGAGAGAGGAATAAACTCCCAAGGAGAAGAATTTTTGCATATATATATATATTTTTTTTTAATTAATTAATTTATTTATTTATTACTTTGTCTGCCCTCTAACATGGATGTGGGAATTCCAGTGAGCTGGGAGAACTGGTCATAAAATGGACAAAAGGGTGGGAACGTGGAGAAGAATTCACGAAGGAGGGCTTGATGCTATCACTCATTGAGTATTGATGACAAAGAAGGAGGTGTGTTTTGTTTTGTTTTGTTTTTTAATCTGTCATTTGGGGTAAGATTTCTCAAACCACTTTATTTATTTATTATTATTTTTTTTGTTTTACGCTGCTTATATTTCACATCAATTATCTCAGGAAATGCCGGAGTAGTACTGTGAGCAGGGTAACCCCTCTCACATTGTTCTCATCTTTGTGCTTGCCTCTGCACCCGTTCACAATTCTCTCCACACGACAAAAGCCTCAAATGAATGGAATGCTTTCTCTTTGAAATTCGAAACGTGTTCTCCCCTTCACTGTCTAATTAATGCTCAAAGCATTCCTCCTGAGGTGGGCGTGTGGTGGGAAACCACACTTCCCCTTTAAGACACACAGGAAGCAGCTGGGAGGGGCAGACCATTTCCATCCCGGAGAACCTTGATGCGAAGTCGGTGTGTTTGTTTTATTTTTTTAAAATATATTTTATTGATTTTTTTTTTTCCAGAGAGGAAGGGAGATGAATAGAGTCAGGAACATCGATGAGAGAGAAACACTGATCAGCTGCCTCCTGCACACACCCCACTGGGGATGTGTCTGCAACCAAGGTACATGCCCTTGACGGGAATCGAACCTGGGACCCTTCAGTCCGAAGGCAGATGTTCTGTCCACTGAGCCAAACCCGTTAGGGCAGTCGGTGTTATTCCCGGGCCCTCACCACCTCATTGTCTGTGTCCTTGGCTGATTCACAAGTTCAGTAGCTGATCTCTTCCCACCCACCCTCCCTACCCCGCCTCCCCTCTGAGATTCAACAGTCTGTTTATGCTTCTATGTCTCTGGGTGGATTTCCGATCACCCGTTTATCTGGTCCCTTAGATTCCTTATCTGAGTGAGATCATGTGATACTTATGTCTCTCTGACTGACTTATTTCACTTAGCGTAATGCTCTCCAGGTTCATCCAGGCTGTTGCAAAGGGTAAGAGATCTTCCTTCCTTCCTTCCTTCCTTCCTTCCTTCCTTCCTTCCTTCCTTCCTTCCTTCCTTCCTTTCTTTCTTTCTTTCTTTCATTCTTTCTTTCTTTCTTCTTTACAGCAGCAGAGTATTCCATGGTGTAAAGGTACCACAGCTTTTTTATCCACTCCTCTGCTGATGGGCACATAGGCCGTTTCCAGATCTCAGCGATGGTGAATTGTGCTGCTGTGAACATAGGGACGCATCCAGTCTTTCTGATTGGTGTTTCGGGTCGGCAAACGGCGGCTCGCGAGCCACAGGCGGCTCTTTGGCCCCTTGAGTGTTTAGCAAAGGCCAGCCGAGGAGTCCCCTCATTAAGGTAATAAAAAATGTACCTACCTAGATAGTTTCAGTTTAAAAAATGTGGCTCCACAGAGGAATGTCAATCGTTGTGCTGTTGATATTTGGCTCCGTGGACTAATGAGTTTGCCGACCTCTGGCTTAGGGTGTATGCCTAGAAGTGGGGTCACGGGGTCCGATGGGAGCTCCATTTTTTAACCTGTTGAGGGGACGCCATCCTGTCCTCACAGCGGCCGTGCCAGCCTGCGTTCCCACCCGCAGTGGGTTCGTTCGTGCTCCCTTTTCTGATACGAATTCAGGTTCCTTAAGGGGAAACGGACACACTGAGCGAGCATGCCCAGTTATTTTTTTCCAGATTTCTCAATCCAGTTCACATCAACCTCCGAGGCGGAGACTGAGCAGGGGGGGAGGGGGGTGCGAGGGGCTGAGGGTTTCAGCTGGAGCGAGCATGTGAAAGAAATACTCAGAGAAGTTGAAGAAGAAGAAGAAAAAAGAGGCAATTCTGCTGAAAAAGAGAGTCATTTCCAGAGAGCACACTGGAAATATTTTGGGAGTTGGGGAAGAGTGGGAGATGGTCAGACAAGGGTGTAGGTAAAATCGATTTAGATAGTAGCATTTATAACAGAAGGTAGGAATACCCATCCACCCACCCATCCATCCATCCACCTGTTCTCTCATCCATTTATCCACTCACCTATCCACCCATCCATCCCTCCACCCATCCATCCATCCATCCATCCATCCATCCATCCATCCATCCATCCAACCACCCATGAACCCACGCATCCATCCATCCATCCATCCACCCACCCACCTACTCAAGCACCCACCCTCCTATCCATCCATCCACCCACCCATCTGTCCATCCATCCATCCATCCATCCACCCATCCATCTCTCCCTCCCTCCCTTCCTCCTTTTCTCTATCCATTCACTCATCCATCCATCCACCCACCCGTCTGTCCATCCATCCATCCATCCATCCATCCATCCATCCATCCATCCACCCATCCATCTCTCCCTCCCTCCCTCCCTCCTTTTCTCTATCCATTCACTCATCCCTCCCTCCCTCCTCCCACCCACCCGCGCCCTCCCTCCCTCCGGCTCCCTCCGGGTCTCCCGGCCTGAGCGGCGCGCACCCGGGGCGGGGCGGGGCGGGCGGGTCCCCGGGGCGGGAGGCCGGGCCGCGCGGTCGGTCGTGCATCGCGGAGCCCAACCCGCCGCCCGGCCGGCCGCGCCCACGTGACCGGCTCCCTGGCGGCCGCGCGCACGGGCGGGCGGTCGGCGCTGGGCCCGGCGCCGCAGCCGGAGCGGAGGCGGCGGCCGCGCGGGAGCCGCTGCGCGCGGCGGGGGCGGCGGTCGGGTCCGGTCGGGTCCGGTCCGGTTCGGTCCCGGTGCCGGTGCCGGTCCGGAGCGCGGGCGGACGGACGGCGCGGATGGAGCGGATGGAGCGGCGGGGCCCTGCCTCCCGCTGACGCCGCCGGAGCAGACGCCGCGGCCGTGACCTTGGCGCCGAGGTAACGGGGCGGGGGCCGGGCGCCGCTCCCACCGCGCCCTGCGGGCCGGTCCCGCCGCCCGGGCTCCGGCTCCGGCTCCGGTTCGGGCTCCCGTTCGGGCTCCGGCTCCGGCTCCGGTTCGGGCTCCGGCTCCGGGCGCCGCCGGGAGGGCGCAGGGCGCGGGGCGCGCTCCCCCGTGCGCTCCGGGCTCCGGGCTGCGGGCGGCGGGGGTCCCCGCGGGGATCCAGGCGAGTGCGGGGGGCGGGCTGCACCCCCACCCGTGCCCCCACCCGTGCCCGCGCCCCGGATTTCTCGGGCTCTTGTCCCCGGGCCGGGATCGCCCTGGTCCCCCCCTGGTCCCCCCTGGTTCCCCCCTGGTTCCCGGGCGCAGGAGCCGCCCGTGGGGGAGGCGCGGGCCGGAGGGGACCCTGTCCAGGGAAGGGCATCGCTGACGCCCGCCGGGGGGTTTGGGGGGACGAAAGGGGGTTTAGGGGGGGCTAGACCGACCCCTGGGACAGAGTGTGGCGCGGGCGGCCCCTCTCGCCCTTGGGGGGGGGGGGGAGAACTCTGGTGAGGGGAGGGGCGCCCTGGCTTTGGGATTTTTCGCAGCTGAAGCTCCAAACTCTTTGCAAAAGGAGTTTCCAGAAAAGCCACCCCCTTGGAAGCTGCAGCCCAGTGGCTGCTGGAGCCCAAGGGTGGCCTTGGCTTCCAGCCCCCCTGGGTGGGGGGCGAGGGGCGGGGGTGGGGGGTGTACTGTGGATCCAATGAGAAAATCCAATTAGAAAACAGCATCAAAGCTGTTCCTACCACCCCGCCCCCGCCCCCGCCAGCCCCGCAGGTGAGCGTGGTCCAGGCGGATGGATGGATGGATGGGCAGGTGCGCGGATGGATGGATGGATGGGCAGGTGCAGGGATGGATGGATGGATGGATGGATGGATGGATGGATGGATGGATGGATGGATGGATGGATGGATGGACGGATGGACGGATGGGCAAGTGCGGTGATGGATGGATGGATGGATGGATGGATGGATGGATGGATGGATGGATGGGCAGGTGCAGGGATGGATGGATGGATGGATGGATGGATGGATGGATGGATGGATGGATGGATGGGCAGGTGCAGGGATGGATGGATGGATGGATGGATGGATGGATGGATGGATGGATGGATGAGTAGATGGATGGATGGGCAGATGGGCAGGTGCGGTGGATGCTGTAGTTCTTCCAGCATCGCCGCCCCACATGGAGCGCTTGGCTGGCCATTCGGGGCGCCCTGAAGTCCCCCTCACCCCTCCCTTGCCAGGCGAAGACTGCAAACTCCTGCCCCCCAGAGCCGACCACGTGTGGGGGTGACATGGCCCAGGGGAACAACTACGGCCAGACCAGCAACGGGGTGGCGGACGAATCCCCCAACATGCTGGTGTACCGGAAGGTAAGGTGTCCCGGTTTTCCTTGGAGAAACGGGGGGCAGCTGGCCTCCTCGGGATGCCCCCCTGCCATATGGATGGACCGTAAATCACTCCCTGGCCCAGGTGGGTTTCCTAGTCCTGAACCCAGGAGGACGAGCTGGGGTCCCCATCAGAGATATAGGGGTGGCAGCCAGCTCTGTCTGTCCTCACACTTCCGGCTGATGCCACAGGCTTGAACCTGCGTTCGGCAATAACGGAAAATAATGTATGAGCATCTTCTCCTATGTTTCGTGTGTTACACACACGATTGTACAGCCTCCTTGATAAGGTGTAGTAAGTGGCTCTCCCTATGCTGTCCTTGCGAGCGTTCGGGTTGTAATAATATAAAAATTCACGAAAGAAAACTAAGCTCCCTTTTCAGCAAGAGCGACTGTGTCTGTGCGTGGAGGGATGGTCTCGCGGACACCATCCTGCTAGCGTTTGTCTTAGCCTAAATGGTTTTTTAATTTGGTGTGACTTTTATCAGTTTGCTGGTGGGCATTCATGTGGTAGTGCCATATGCCCACTAAATAAATCTTTATATGACAGAGGTGTTTTGTTGTTGTTGTTTGTGGTGGTTTTTTGTTTTTGTTTTTGTTTCGCCACAAACCAATCTGACAGCTTTATGCCTTTGATAAGGGTGCTGTTATCGGCAACACGTTTCTAACTACTGAGCCATGATACCAAGGATGTATTTGAATGTTGTGCACGCCTCGGAGGGATGGCGTCGGTAATTCCTCACTCTGGTACGAATCAGCATTACTGAGGTCGGACTGCTTGCTTCTATTGCACTTTTTGCCGTGGTTATTACTTCTTTTCTTTAGTGTACCATCTGTCGTGTGTATTGGGCAAGATTTCTTGACTTAACCTTAGCACCAGCTAAAAGGAAACCATTGCCGAAGCTGGTGTGGCTCAGGGGATAGAGCATCGGCCTGCGGACTGAAAGGTCCCGAGTTTGATTCTTGTCAAGGGCATGGACCTTGGTTGCGGCACATCCCCGGTAGGGGGTGTGTAGGAGGCAGCTGGTCGATGTTTCTCTCTCATCGATGTTTCTAGCTCTCTCTCCCTCTCCCTTCCTCTCTGTAAAAAAATGAATAAAATATATTTAAAAAAATAAATAAAAGGAAACCATTACCTGGAAACCAAGGACATTTTTAAGGACTTTGATTGGCACGAGTCTCTTGAGGATCAGGCTGAGTCTCCATGGGTGGTTCAGATAGAGCAGGGGATGGGAATTTTTTTTTTTTTCTGCAAAAGGCCATTTGGATATTTCTAATGTCCACCGTACAAAACAATCAACTGAAACGCTCGCTTACTATGTCCGGGCAGACATTGAATTAGCTCACCCTCATACCTCGGCAGGACCGGGCCAAATGGTTTCATGGGCCTTCTAGGGCCCGCGGGCCGACGTTCCCCACCCCCTGAGTTAGAAGATCAGGAAAAATCCAGATTTCCCTTCTGTGGGGCCCAGGATCAGGCAGAGGTGATGATGAATGTGTGGGGGGAATATTTAAAATATATATATATTTTATTGATGTATTTACAGACAAGAAAGGAGAGGGAGAGAGTCAGAAACATCGATGATGAGAGAGAAACATCAATTCAGCTGCCTCTTGCACGCTCCCTACTGGGGATGTGCCTGAAACCAGGGTACCATGCCCTTGGCGAGAATTGAACCTGGGACCCTTCAGTCTACAGGCTGACGCTCTATCCACTGAGCCACACCGGTTAGGGCTGGAGGGAATATTTTTATTTTACTGTGAAAGTGTCTGGGCACCTTGACCCGATGCTAGCTGGGGTTTTTTTTTTTTTTTTGTTTGTTTGTTTGTTTGTTTCTCTCTCTAGCCTCGCGGACTGCACTAGGTTGAGTATCTGTGAAGGCAATTGGATGGGTCTGTGACAGCGGAGTATGATGGGAAACAGAGGCAGAGGTGAATTGCCAGGTTTAGCCTTCAAGCATTCCAAAGGGATAAAGCAAGAAAAGAATCCACTTGAGTCTAAACGATTACTATTGTGTTTCTCCACGGATCACAGTTACTGGCTATGTGCTCATTCTAGGCAGAGTTGGTTATGGGAAAAGCTATTTGGGAGGGGGCAGTTGTGTGTTTTAAAATAATGTATAAGACTTTTATTGTTGGGTGTGATTCTGAATTTTGAAGGAATTTGGGGCATGAATGATTCTATCTTGCAGGTGTATGTCTTGTGGAGCGTTGAGCTTTTGGGTGTGAAATGACAGTGGCTAAATAGGTCAAACTACATTTTTTTCCCCCCTCTTTGTTTCACAAACAGATTGGGGCTGAGTTGGCCAGACAACTGAGTTATCTTGATTAGAAAAAACATTTTAGATGGCACCAATCCATGAGTCTTATTTAGCAAATTATCATGAAAATAAACGAAGAAGGAGACTGGGAGTTTTAGAAATAGTTATTGGACTACCTTGTGTATCTCAGCTTCAGGTTACTAATTTTGAATTTACCGTATACATTGTCTAGCACCAAATTGTGAACAGACTGTAATAACTCCACGGAGAAATTCAGTGCCTCATTCTTTTCAGTGTTTCTATTTTGCTAGTTAAGTTTAGAGCCGCTTGTGCTTCTCACTTTGGCCTTTTATTAGCTCTTTGTTTGGGGTGAATGACACGCATAATTTATTTTTAGAAAAGATGTCTCTGATAAATAATCATTGGGGGGAAAAATAACTCCGTTCGGTACAAATAACTGCCAGGTGATTTATATTAGGAAACGCAGTGTTCTTGGTTATCATTTGCTAGTTACCAAAGTCATATGTTCCATGTCTGTGTGCACACACAACACGGCATCATGGATTTCCTGGGACCGTGTTTTGCCTCTGATTTTTGCGTCCTCTGTGGTCTTTGCATGTAATATCTGCTCACTAGAGGCCATGTTTTCTTTTCTTTTTTTTATGAATCATCACATTTTATTTGAACTTTAAAGAATATTCACCTCAGTCAGGTATCAATGTTCATTTGGAGAGGGGCGTAGGTCGGATCGATGTATTAGGACAGTTCCTATGGGCCAGGGATCGGCAAACTCATCAGTCCTCAGAGCCAACTACCAGCAACACAATGATGGACATGTCTTTGGAGAGCCACATTTTTTAAACATAAACTCATTCTGCCGAGACTGGTTTGGCTCAATGGATAGAGCGTCGGCTTGGGGACTGAAGGGACCCGGGTTCGATTCCGGTCAAGGGCATGTACCTTGGTTGCGGGCATATCCCCAGTAGGGGGTGTGCAGGAGGCAGCTGATCAATGACTCTCTCTCATTGATGTTTCTAACTCTCTATCTCTCTCCCTTCCTCTCTGTACAAAATCAATAAAATATATTTTAAAAACAAAACAAACAACAACAACAAAAAAAAACATAAACTCATTCTAACGCCACTTCTTCAACATAGACTCGCCCGGTCCGTGGTATTTTGTGAAAGAGCCACACTCCAGGGGCCCAAGAGCCGCACGTGGCTCGCAAGCTGCAGCTTGATGACCACAGGTCTAAGCTATTTCCACTAAGCTGCACACGGACACGTGAACTTGGGGTGATAATGAACTTGGGTCTCCCATGGTTCAACTTCTCTCTCTCCTCGGTTGCTGCTGTCCGTGGTCTTTGAAGTAAAGATGAGGATGGGGGGGAGGGGATGTCGGCCTGGATTTTATTGCCTTCATTTTCACCTCCAGCCTTCCCGAATCTAATTGATGGGGCGAGGGAGGAAAGTGGGGGGGGGGGGGGGGACACAAATCAGAGGCTACCCAGGGGCTTGATTGCCTTCTAATAGCCTCTGTGGTTGCACTGCCTGATGGGAAACGGTATTTTTAGGCAGCGTGGGTGATGGAATGTGACCACTGCCGAGAAGGTGGGAATAGTTTGGATTTGGGCAGTTTACTGACTTAATAAACGTTAAGTCTCCTTGAGAACAGGATTTTGGCAGACAGGCCACACAAATAATTGGTCTTTGCTCCCTCTTTCCCATCAGCGAAGGGCAGGCGTGTAAATGTCAGGGTTACAGATTTCTGTGTTGCAAAATATCCATCTAATTAGGAGATGATTGTCAATGATAACGTGGGTGCCCGGATCCTTAGGGGGGGGAGGGGAATAACCCTGCTTCTCTCTGCCATCCAGCCAAGGCAGTGGTGGGCAACTCATTAGTCCACAGAGCCAAATGTCAACAGCACAACGATTGAAATTTCTTTGGAGAGCCACTTTTTTTAAACTTCAACTTCTTCAAAATAAGACTGGCCCAGGCCTTGGTTTTTTTGGAGGAGCCACCCTGTAGGGGCCAAAGAGCCGCATGTGGCTCTCGTCGAGCCGCGATTTGCTGACCATGGAGCCAAGGCGATATATATAATTAGCTTATCCTCCTTCAAACTCCCTTTGTCTTGTATTCTATTCGATTCACAAGGGGCTCAGGACATTGAGACTCTTAACAGGTTAACCATGAACTTGATTCCAGCTCCATTGAAATTGCCGTGTGGTCCAGGCTGGGCAGGTATGGCTGAGGGGCCCCTCTGGAAGCATCAATATTTCTCCAAAGCTAAAAAGGTGACTTTTCTGGATAGATGTCCTGGGACAATGGCTGCTCTGCAATATGGGCTGGGTGTTTAAGAGTCGGTTGAGGCCCTAGCCCGTGGATAGAGTGTCAGCCTGCAGACTAAAGGGTCCCAGGTTTGATTCTGACCAAGGGCACATGACCAGGTTATGAGCTTGATTATTCCCCCCCCACCCCCAATAGAGGATGTGCAGGAGGCAGCCGATCAATGATTCTCTCTCATCATTGATGTTTCTATCTCTCTGTTTCTCTCCCTTCCTCTCTGAAATCAGTTAAAAAAACAACTATATATATAAAAGCCAAGCCACCAGAATGACGAATGACCAGTTGCTATGACGCGCACTGTGGCAGCCAACCAGCCTGATCAACCTCTTGTGATCCCTTCCCCAAGCCAGCCTGGCCCTGATTGTCCCCCCATCCT